AGAAGGGGTGGGGGAGGCTGCAGCTTCTAGAACAGTAGAGCTACAGTTTCCCGTTGGTGGCCAGGATGGTAAAGTGGGTCATGGGCACCCCCCCAAATAGGACTGAGCTCTTCTTGTTCCTGGGAGTGAGTCCCCAGTTCTGGGGAGCCATGGCCTCAGGGTGAAATGAGAAATTGATTTTTGCAGGAAAAAAAATCAACTTGACCTCCACCCAGGTCCCTAGGTCTGTCATCTACCCTTGCAGAAAAGAATTTTCAGGAGGAGATGGAGAGAGAAGTGAAGTTGTTAGAGACTGGGGGAGAGGGAGAGAGCCCAAAGTCACCAAGTCAAAGAAAGGCGTGACAAGTGAGAATGCAGGGGACCTCCAGAACAGGGACGTGTCTCACTTGTCTTTGCAAAGTTTTTTTTTTAAGGGCACCTCAAGAAGTGCTCAGGAGGCCTCACCAACAAGTCTTGACCAACCAGGCTGGTGGTTCAGTGCAAGTACTGGCAGGTGCGGTGCAGGGGTACCCAGGCCACCCCAGCAGAGCTGTGGGATCCTAGGATGACACCAGGTGATGCTCAGAGGTCTCCAGGCCTGCACTCTGGACATGCTTGGGGACCAGATCACGATCACGATCATCCTGTTGTTTGTCGATTGCCTCGAGCAGGCACCAGTAATGTCTCCTTCATCCTAGCCCTGGGATTTTAAAAAGTGCCATATTCAAGGCTCTTTCAGGGTTAGGAGAATGAGACCCATCATTGTTACTGGTATGTGGCATATTGGGTATGCCACGGGGAGTTTGCCAGACTCTGCCGTGTGGGCAGGTTACATTCGGTAGTCTGCCAGTTTGTTCAAAGTAAGAATGAGATAATAAGATGTTGCAAGGCTGCATTTGTGGCCGCGCGCTTCTGATAGCTGTGTTTTATAGTCTCTGGGTCTTGGCCATTGATGGGACTACATGGCGCCAGGGGATCAGTTGGTGGGTGTGACCCCTGCCTACTGGAAGATGGAGGATCTGGGTGAAGGATGCTCAGCCCCGATCCGAGCAGGCTTGGAGATCTCAGCCCTGGGACCCGCATGCCTTTGTTCCTCTGCTGGTACCTTCATGGGTGTGGACCAGATGGTTCAAGAATCAAACCCAGGTCAGGTACATACCAGGCTTATGGACTAACCTCCCAGCCCTCCAAAGTTGGTTTTATAAATTTTCTTCCAAACTGCCCACTGGGGCTTTCTACATAGATAAGAGTCTGTTTCTAGAGCATTATCAAGGGAAGAGCTTGAAATTCATAGTCTTTGTTTGTGGGGTGGCGGGGAGAGCCACACCTACTGGTGTTCAGGGCTTACTCCTAGCTCTACACTCAGAAATCACTCCTGGTTAGCTCAGGGGACCCTATGGGATGCTGGGGACTGAGCCCAGGTTGGCCGTGTGCAAGGGTCCTGAACTTCATGTTCTTATCACAACCTCATTCCTTTGGAGCTTCTCCTGGTTTGGGTCAGGCTTCCCTGGCTGGTCTGGTGACAGAGTCTTATCAACCTGGGTTCCTATGTCCACAAAAAGGGTTTGCCCTCATCAGCTTTGAAGGTTTGATGGAGTAACTTTTGAGTCACATTTTGGTTTTATTACTTCCTGATTCAGTAATAAAAATGCAGAAAATGGACACCACGCTTATAACCAACCCTGAAATGCCTCATAAAATCCCAGAAAATCTGGCCCTATGGAAGAGGAGGAATGCCCCAGATAACTATTTGCCAGAATGAAGGGGCTTCTCAGCCCATCACTGTAGGACTTGGACCATACCCAGCTGGCTCAGGGTCTACTCCTGCCTCTGTGCTCAGGAAACTCTATTCAGAGTCAGGGATTAAAATGGGGTCAGTTAACATGCAAGTATACTTAACCCCTGTACTATATCACCAACCCATGAGTAGATTTTCTTTCCCTTTTTTTTTTTTGGTAGAGGTGAGAATAGCCCTGAGAATAGCCACATCTGGCTATTCCAGGGCTTTGTTCTGGCTCTGTGCTCAGGGATCACTCCTCGCAGGCTCAGGGGATCATTTGGGGTGCCAGAGATGGAACCTGGGTCAGCCCCATGCAGGTCAAATGCCCTACCTGCTATACTATCTCTCTGGCCCTGAAAATAATTTTTTTTTTGCTTTTTGGGTCACACCCGGTGATGCTCAGGGGTTACTCCTGGCTTTGCACTCAGGAATCACTCCTGGCAGTGCTTGGGGGACCATATGGGATGCTGGGAATCAAACCCTGGTCGGCTGCGTGCAAGGTAAACTCCCTACCCACTGTGCTATTGCTCCAGCCCCCTGAAAATAAATTTCTTTACTTCACTATTTGTCTCCTGAAAAATCTTATCTATGAGAGTCAACAATGAACTTGGAAACCTGGGCTGAAGTCAGGACTGACGTTCATTTCCTGCAGAGGGAAATTTCTGCCGGAGACAACGGCTCACCCAAAACTCATGTACATCAAGTGAACCTCTGGTGGCTGCCTTGCGGGGCTGGTGGGCCTCTCGTGTCCTTACCATACAGGAGATTGTGACAGGCTTTTACCATCCTAGAGGCCTCCAGTCCCTGCCCATCACCCCCCATCCCTAGGGAGGTGGTGGTGGGTCACGCAGGAGAGCAATAGCACAGTTGGGGGGTGTACTGTGAGGACTGAGTGTGTGAAGAGGGGTGTGCACTGAGTGGGGGCCTTCAGACACGCTCACAGCACAGCTGGAAGGCGCAATGAAGTGGTTCCCCAGAGGTCTAAAACCCAGCTCTCGGGATTTTTTCCTCTGCCCCTCTTGGAGAGCCTGGCAAGCTACCGAGAGTATCTCACCCGCACGGCAAAGCCTGGCAAGCTATCCATGATGTATTTGATAGGCCAAACACCGTAACAAGTCTCACAATGTTACTGGGCCTGCTCGAGCAAATCGATGAACAACGGGAGGACAGTGACAGTGAATTTTATAAGTTAGTTCACAATGTTTGATTACATTCAATATTCAAACACCAATCCCACCACCATTACACCTTCCCACCACAAAATTTGGGATATTTCCATACCAAACCCTAATCCCTGTCCCAAAACACAACCAAAATAATGTATTTCGTATTATGTTATTGAGCTGGAGTGATAGCACAGCGGCTAGGGTGTTTGCCTTGCACGCTGCTGACCCAGGTTTGATTCCTTTGTCCCTTTCAGAGAGCCCGGCAAACTACTGAGCGTATACCACCCCATTGCAGAGCCTAGCAAGCTCCCCGTGCATATTTGATATGCCAAAAACAGTAACAACAAGTCTCACAATGGAAACGTTACTGGTGCCGGCTCAAGAAAATCGATGAACAACGGAAGGTCAGTGCTATTATCTGTTATGAAGAACTGCTGAACATGCTTACAAAAAAGTGTTCATATAGGAAACTGTCACTCCCGTTGTTTATCGATTTTCTTGAGCGGGCCCAGTAACGTCTCCATTGTGAGACTTTGTTGTCACTGTGCTTGGCATATTAAATATGTCATGGGTAGCCTGCCAGGCTCTGCCATGGGGGCGATATATGCTCAGTAGCTTGCCGGGCTCTCTGAGAGGGGTGGAGGAATCGAACTCGGGTCGGCCATGTTAGCTGCGTGCTATCACTCCAGCCCATATAGGAAACAGTGTGCAGATTGTTCTATTTTGGCAGGAGCCATTAAGACATTCTATAGGATATCACTAACATGTTGTTTAAGTTTGGGTGATGTGAGCTTTGGTATACATATCTGAAAATATGTAAATATGCTCGGATTGGAGTCAAGCATCCTCCACCCAGATCCTCCAAATTCCAGTAGGCGGGAGTCACACCCACCACCTGGCCCCCTGGCGCCGTGTAATCCCATCAACGGCCAAGACTCAGAGACTATAAAATCCAGCTCCCGGAACCGCGCGGCCTCGAGACATCTTATCAGGACATCTTTTTTGACATCTTATTATCTCATTCCTACTTTGGACAAACTTGCAGGCTATCGAATGTAGCCTGCCCACAGTGCAGAGTCTGGCAAACTCCCCGTGGCATACCCAATATGCCAAATACCAGTAACAATGATGGGTCTCATTCTCCTAAAGAGCCGTGAATATAATCTCAGGGCTAGGATGAAAGAGACGTTACTGGGGCCTGCTCGAGGCAATCGACGATTAACAGGATGATGAAATGAAAAAAATGAAAAATGTAAATATGCATATATGTATATATTTCCCTCTATAATTTGTTGCCTACTACCTGAACCCCATCAAATGTGGTGTCGAAATTATGGCTGGAGTGATAGCAGGGCTGGAGCAATAGCACAGTGGGAGGGCATTTGCCTTGCATGCAGCCGGCCCGGCAGAGCCGGGTTCGATTCCTCCGCCCCTCTCGGAGAGCCTGGCAAGCTACCGAGAGTATCTTGCCTGCACGGCAAAGCCTGGCAAACTAACCGTGATGTATTGAATATGCCAAACACAGTAACAGCAAGTCTCATGATAGAGACGTTACTGGACCCGCTCGAGCAAATCCACGAACACCCGGAGGACCGTGACCGTGATTAGTGAAACACCATGAGGTACAGCTGTAGACTTACAAATTTTTGTGCTTGGGTTTCAGTTATACAGTGATCGAGTGCCCATCCCTCCACCAGTGTCCATTCTCCACCACCACTGGTCCCAGTAGCCCTCCCACCCCCCATCCCCCCCACCAGCTCTCGGGATTTGGGGCATTCCCATCTGCCTTCCTCGGCTCCGCGCCCGTGGAGCCTCGAGGACTACAACTCCCAGAGTGCCCCGCGCGCGCGCCGACCAGGAAACGGCTCCCTTGGATAGGACAGCGCTGGGCCGAATCTTTCGCGCCTCGTCGCGGTGCTGGAGACGTGAAGGGCGGGTCCGGCCGCCGGTGACGCGCCCCGGAGGCAGGGCCGGGGCGGGGGGCGGGGCCGGGCGCTGACGGGCAGGCCGGCGGCCCAATGGAGGCGGCGGCCGCGGAGGGGCGGGCCGCGGGCGCCGAGGCGGGCGTCGGTGGCGACGGCGGCGGGAGCATGGCGGAGCCGCTGAGGAAGCGGGGTCGGCGGCCCCGGGGCGGCGCCGCGGGGCGCGGGGCGCGGGGGGTCGCGCGGCGGCCGGGGCCGGCGTCCTCGCGTCCAGGGCGCCCCGGCGCGGCGCGCCCTGGACTCGGTGCTGGTGGATTTGGTGAGCGACAGCGACGAGGATGTCCTGGAGGTGCCCGCGGAGCGCGGCGCCGCCGGCCCGGCCGAGATCCCGCCGCCCGCGCCCCCCGCGGCCCCCGCGGCCCCCGCGCCCCCCGCGGCCCCCGCGCCCCCCGCGCCCCGCGACGACAGCGACACTGACAGCGACGGGGCGGGCGCGGGGGGCGCCCCGCGGGCGCTGGTGCGGCGGCGGCGGCGGCGGCTGCTGGATCCCGGGGAGGCCCCGGTGGTTCCCGTGTACTCGGCCAAGGTGTGCGGGGTCAGGGGTGCGGGCAGAGGGCGCCGGTCGGGGGCTGCGGGCTCAGGCGTGCGGGCGGCGTGCGCGGGGTTGAGGTGCGGGTGGGTCAAAGGGTGTGGGTCGGGGGTATGCGGGGTCGGGGTGCGGGCGGGGGTCACGGGGCACGCGATCAGGAGTGCGGTTGGGGAGTGCGGGCGGAGGGCGCTGGTCGGGGGTGCGGGGTCAGGGGCGTGTGTGGGTCGGGGGGGGGATGCGGGGTCAGGGGTGCGGGCTGGGGGTGAGAGCTTGGGGTGTGGGTGGGTCAAAGGGTGTGGGTCGGGGGGATGCGGGGTCAGGGGTTCGGGCGGGGGTCACAGGGCACGGGATCAGGAGTGCGGTTGGGGAGTGCGGGCGGAGGACGCTGGTCAGGGGCTGCGGGGTCAGGGGTGGGGGTCAGGGGTGTGTGTGGGTGGGGGGGGATGCGGGGTCAGGGGTGCGGGCGGGGGTCTCGGGGCACGGGATCAGGAGTGCGGTTGGGGAGTGCGGGCGGAGGGCGCTGGTCGGGGATGCGGGTTCAGGGGTACGGGATGGGGGTGAGGGGTTGGGGTGTGGGTGGGTCAAAGGGTGTGGGTCGGGGGGATGCAGGGTCAGGGGTTCGGGCGGGGGTCACAGGGCACGGGATCAGGAGTGTGGTTGGGGAGTGCGGGCGGTCAGGGGCTGCGGGGTCAGGGGTGCGGGCTGGAGGTGCGGGGTTGGGATGCAGGTGGGTCAAAGGGTGTGAGTCGAGGGGATGCGGGGTCAGGGGTGCGGGCGGGGGTCGCGGTCGCAGGCTGCGGGGTCAAGGGTGTGGGTCAAGGGTGCGGGGCTGGGGATGCGGGGCCTGGGGGTGTGGGTCGGGCTGGCCCTTGGTCAGGTACAGCTCTGGGCTGGCGTGAGGGTGTGGGGGCGTGGTGCCAGGGGGTGCGGATCGGGCTGGTGCGGTGGGAGGACCTGGGGGTGCTGCATCTGGGAGTGCAGGGACTGGTCTTGCGGGCGGGGGGTGCAGGGTCTGGGGTGTGGGGTGTGGGATGTGGAGGCCTGGGGGTGCGGGCTGGGCTGCCACTGGATCTTGGAGTGCAGCTGGGGGTGGGAGTGGAGGGCTGGGGAATGAGCACCGGGGGTGGGGGCTTGGGGGTGCCGACCTGAGGTCTGGCAGTGCAGGAATCTGTGGGGTGAGGGCTCAAGGTGGGGCTTTGGGGTGTTGGAGTTTGGGGCTCTGGGAGCTGGCTGAGTGGCCAGGAGGAGCAGGCAGTGGGATAAGGGTCCCTTTGGGTTTCAGGGTCGAGCTCGCTGAGACTCAGGGTGCAGAGACTCCGGGAGATCCCACGGTTGGGAAGGGGAAAGAGGGCTGCCCTGTGGGGAACCAGGACCCCGAGCTCCGGGGAGGATGGTAGCAGAGGGGAGCTGCTGGGGGTCAGCAGGGAGGTGCTCCCAGTAGCTGATGCTCACTAACTGGGGACTGAGCCTTTGTCTTGCAGGTGAAAAACAGCCTCCACCTCATCCCCGACCACCTGTCCCTCTTGAAACTCTGCCCCCCAGAGGCTGAGGAAGAAGGTGAGGAGGACTTCCAGCGGGAGGTGTCCAGGGCTGGAGGGGGCTGGAGGGAGGGCATCCCTGTGGGGATCATCTTGTCCCCTTGAGAGTGGCAGACCTGGAGCTGAAAATGTCCATGGGGGCGGGTTGGGGCCAGCACTGGGCAGGGGAGTAAGGATCTGTACCATTTCCTCACATCTGCAGGCAGCCTGTGGGGGCAGGTGTTCTTGCTGTCCTTGGTCCTCCCAGGGTTGAATGATGTGTGATACAGGGGGCTTTGCGGGGGCACTTCTGTACCAGGACAGAATGTGGGAACTGATTCAGAATCCACTTGGCCTGGCTCTGACACCTGAGCTCTACCGGTGTGTAGAGCTGTGACTGTGTGGGCGCCTTAATGCCTCTCGGAGTTTCCGGTCCACCTCAGGAAAGTGGGGGTAAGAGTGGACCCCCGTCAGAGAATCGCATTGAGCATTCAGGAGAAGACAGTTTAGGACAGGAAGCACGCGGCCGACTTGGATTTGATCCCCGGCATCCCAAATGATCCCCCAGGCACCACCAGGAGTAATTCCAGACTAAAGAGCCAGGAGTAACCCCTGAGCATCTCTGGGTGTGACCAAAAAAGAAAAAAAAATGGAGATGGCCCAGAGAACTGAAGGGCAGGCTTGGCCTGTGGGAGGCCTGGGTCCACGCCCTGCACCATGATCCCCCTTGAGCACTGCTGTGTGTGACCCCCTGAATTCACAAAAAGTGGACTCAGCAGTGATGGGTATCTCTGAGGAACTTGTTGGCCTGCCTCTGGCATTACTGTACTTGATTAGGACAGAGTTTCATTTTATTTTACTTTTGATTTTTTTTTTTGGGGGGGGGCTCCACATCCTGCAGTGCTTAGGGCTGACTCCTGGCTCTGTGCTCAGGGATCATTCCTGACAATTGCTGGCAATCACCTTACCTGCTGTACTATCTCCCAGTTCCTAGGAACAGGATTTTCAGCCTCAATTCTTTAGTGAGTTTTTTTTGGGGGGTGGGGGACGAGGTGGGGGTCGGGCCATAGCTGACTGCTCAGAGGTTCTTCCAGCTCTGTGCTTGGGGACCGCTCCTGCCAGGGATTGAGTGGAGTTGGCCACGTGCAAGGCAAGTACTCCCCCCCCCCACTTTATTTATTTATTGATTGATTGATGGTTTTTTTGGGGGTCACACCCAGTGTTGCACAGGGGTTACTCCTGGCTTTGCACTCAGGAATCACTCCTGGCGGTGCTCGGGGGACCCTATGGGATGCTGGGAATCGAAGCCGGGTCAGCCATGAGCAAGGCAAACGCCCTGCCCGCTGTGCTATCACTCCAGCCCCGAGTTGAAATGATTTATTTGTTTAATTTAATTTTATTTTTTTGGCTTTTTGGGTCACACCCGGCGATCCACAGGGGTTACTCCTGGCTCTGCACTCAGGAATTACCCCTGGCGGTGCTCAGGGGACCATATGGGATGCTGGGAATCAAACCCCAGGTTGGCCCCGTGCAAGGCAAACACCCTGCCCGCTATGCTATCACTCCAGCCCCAGCGAGTTGAAATGATTTAAAGAAAACTATCAACAATAGAGAAAGAGACAAATGTTACCGATACTTGAGAAACATTAGGCTTTACCTCAGCCCCTCCACTCAGCAGTGCCCTTCCCAGCCCAGACTCACAAGATCATGTGACCGAGTACTGGAAGGAAATAAGAGAAACTTTAATAATAATAATAATAATAATATTACTATTATTATGTGCATTTTGGGCCACATCTGGTGACTCATACCTGGCTCTGCCTCAGGGATCACTCCTGGGGGTGCTCAGGGGACTGCACCTTTTTGGTGCAGTGCAAGGACCTTACTTGCTGTCTTTCCAGCAGTAGTGCCTTGGTATGGGCAATTATCTACCGGGAAGGAGCAACAAACGGAGTGTATGGTGCCTGCCTTGCACCCAGTCGACCTGGATTCAATCCCTGGTCCCCCGAGCCCTGTGAGGAGTGACCCCTGAGTGCAGGGGTAAGGAGTGAGGAGTAAGCCCTGAGCATCACCACATGTGCCGCTCAGTCCCCTCCCACTCTGACGCAAAAAAAAAAGTAAATTCTTTCTGAATCTTTTTAATATAATTTTATTGTATTTTATAGAGTGGTTTACAGTATTTTATTAAACACCAATCCCACCACCATTACACCTTCCCACCACCATATTTTGGATGTTTCCATCCTGAACCCCAACACCTGCCCCAGGCAGAACCGAAATAATTTATTTTGTATTGTTTGTTATAAATGAACCTCTAAAAAGGCTCCAGGAAACTTTCCTTAGAGGAGAGAGTGTGAAGATTATTGTATTTTACCCAGGACCATTAAGCCCTTCTATAAGAGATTACTAATATGTTGTTAAAGGTTGAGCCTTATGTACTCATATTAATATATGTATTACTTATATATATCTAAGTAAAGTAAGTAAGTAAAGGCCCTCCCGTTGTTCGTCAATTTGCTCGAGCGGGCCCAGTAACGTCTCCATTGGAGACTTTGTTGTTACTGTGTCTGGCATGGCATATCAAATACGTCACAGGGAGCTTGCCAGGCTCTGCCGTGCAGGCAAGATACTTTCGGTAGCTTGCCGGCTCTCTGAGAGGGGCGGAGGAATCGAACTCGGGTCAGCCCTGTTGGCTGTGTGCAAAGCAAACGCCCTACCGCTGTGCTATCGCTCCAACTCTCTAAGTTTGGTTGCCTCCTACTTTAAACCCCATCAAATGTGGTGTGCTACTCTTGGAGTATGAGTGGTGTGAGGTATGAGATGTCCAGGAATAGGTTCATTCGTGGGTGAGTCCCAGCTAGAGCATGTGGAGAGTGGCCATGAGCATGGTGGCAGTTGAGTTCTGGAGGTTTTCGGCTGCCGGGGCTGGGTCCTTTGGGGCGGGGAGGGGCCTCACCCACCCCCCTTCAGGGTGTCCCAAATGAAACAGCATGGTGCGGGGTCTGGCGGCATGGCTATGGTATGTGTCATTTTATGCTCTCTTCCGAGAGAGAACAATCACTTTCTGGATTTTGTTTATTTTTGCTTTTTGGGTCATACCTGGCGATGCTCAGAGGTTACTCCTGGCTCTGCACTCAGGAATTACTCTTGGTGGGGCTCAGGACCATATAGGATGCTGGGAATTGAACCCGGGTCAGCCGCGTGCCAGGCAAATGCACTCCAGCCCCACTTTCTGGATTTTGTGCTCAGTGTTTTTCTTTGTGGGGGGCAAGTGAACAAAGGCGTGAGGACCATTGCTTCAGTTGGAACTGGCGATGTTTTGTCCACGCTTGCCATAGCATCTCAGGCCTTTGTTCGTACCTTGGACTCTTACCTGCTTGACCCTGGCAAATGGCTGCTCTTTTCTCAGAGTTAGGCATTTCCTGTTGACTCACAGCCCTGAGCACCCCCCAGGACTACGGTGGGGTTCGACCCTCTGAGTCTGTGGTCGGCTCCTTTCCCAAACCCTCCAACTTTCGTGCTGCCCTTGGCCCCCTGCCCTCTCTCTGCCCCCAGACACTGATATAGCCAACTCGAGTAGTCCCCGCTCTGTGGAGTCTCCAGTGCCAGAGTCTCCCTGGAAGAAGAAGCTGCGGCAAGAGGATGAAGATGAGAAGGATGCGATGTTTCTGTGCGTGAGCCTGGGCACGGGCGCTGTGGGCGCAGGGCAGGGCCTGGAGGGATGGGGCTTCTGAGGGGGAGATGAGGAGAATTCTCGGGAGAGGAGCTGAGAGCTGCAGGGGCCCCTGACTGCAGCATTTCACAGCAGAGATAGATGGTCACGACTCGGCCACCGTCCTGCGTCTTCTGGAGCAGGGGTGTGGTGCCAGTGTTAGGGCCTTGGAGGGAGAGTTCCTCCTGGGATAAAGGACCGCTGGCACTGCTGGCTGGCACTTGGTACATGGCAAGCCATGGACCAGAAAAACTGCACATTTTCTTTCTTTCTTTCTTTCTTTCTTTCTTTCTTTCTTTCTTTCTTTCTCTCTCTCTCTCTCTCTTTCTTTCTTTCTTTCTTTTTATGTAGGAGTACTGCTATTTATTCAGCCACCGATTAGCTGATTAAATTGGGCATGAACTCCACAAAGCTGCACATTTTCTTGTCTTTTTTTTTTTTTTTTGCTTTTTGGATCACACCCGGCGATGCTCAGGGGTTACTCCTGGCTTTGCACTCAGGAATTACTCCTGGTGGTGCTTGGGGGACCATATGGGATGTTGGGAATCGAACCTGAGTCAGCCGTGTGCAAGGCAAATGCCCTACCTGTTCTGCTATGGCTCCAGCCCCAAGCTGGGAATTTTCTTGTCTTTTTTTTGGGGCCTCCCTGGCTGTGCTCAGGGGACCATAGGGTGCCAGGGATTGTGCCAGGGATTGAACCTGGGTTGGCCACGTGCAAGGCTCTACCTCTGGCCCCAAAGTTGGGCATTTTCTTCCTGACAGTTGGTCAGTATAATACAAAAGAGATGACTCGGGGTGGGGACATGGCACAAAGGACATATAGGAGGCCCGGCTTGACCCCCAGCACTGCAGGGTCCCCATCACCTCAGGTGTGGCACTCCCAAAAATATGACACACAAGCAAAACACTAGCTAACTTGGGTTTTCCTGTCCTTTTCTTGTCTTCCAGTAAATAAGACGGATGGTACCAAAAGGTGCTCCCTCTTTAGGGGTATCTCCCCGCAGTGCTGGGGAGCCTGGAGTCCACTCTGAGACTTGGCACAGCCTGATGACTGTGCACACTGCCTGGGACCTGGTGGGGCGGGGACAGCAGTGCTACTGGGCGGGGGTGGGGAGGAGGAAAACAGCATGCCATGTACCCCACATCACTGTGCCCCAGATTTGGGGTCGGTGCATATAAGGCACGTCCTCTGACTCTCTGAGCCGTGGCTCTGGCCCTGCTCCACCCCCCACCCCCCTTTCTTCCCATTGGTCTTATTTGTTGTCTTTTGCGCCTCACTGTGTGGTGCTCAGGGCTTACTCCTGGCTTTGCGCTCTGGGACGCCGGGGATTGAACTTGGGTCAGCTGCATGCAAGGCAAACTTACAATAGTTCCGGCTGCTGATCCTCCCATCCAGTTCCCAGGGGTCCGAGACGATGATGAGATCGATGGATCCCACATTCTCTTCTCTCTGCAGGATTCCAGAGACCTCACCTTTGACCTCGTCTCTGCCAAGGACCAAAAACAGAAAACATACTCAGGCGCTGCAGAAGTTAAGGTGCTGCGGATAGGGAGCTGGGTTGGGCGGGCAGCAGCGGGGGTGCTCTCCCCGCTGACCCTGAGTCCTTTCTGCCTGTCAGGGAGGTGAACAGGCGCCTCGAGGATCTACGCTCCTGCCTGAGCCCCAAGCAGCGCCGGGGCCAGGACCTCTTGAACGAAGAGGATGAGGTCATCTTGGTGGAGGGGCCCACCCTCCCGGAGAACCCCCGGCTCTTCCCGCTCAAAGTCCGCTGCCGGGCTGACCTCATCAGGTTGCCCGTCAGAATGGTAAGTACTGGAAGGGCGTGAGGGAGGAGGGTGCCCGGGGCCTGTGGCCACAGTGATGTGGGGTACATGGCATGCTGTTTTCCTTCCTTCCTTCCTTCCTTCCTTCCTTCCTTCCTTCCTTCCTTTCTTCCTTCCTTTCTTTTCCCTCCTTCCTTCTTTCTTTTTGATTTTGGGGCTACACCAGGTGATGCTCAGGGGTTTCTCCTGGCAGGCTGCCAGGGATTGAACCAGGGTCGGGTATTTGCCCACCCTACCCACTGTGCTCTCACACTGGCCCCCGGGATTGTCTCTCGCTTTCCCTGCTCGCTGCAGTCCTGCTTTCCACTGTCCAACTGTCTTTGTACTTCCTGTCCCCTTGGCCGGGTTGGTTTTCGTCTTCCCCCCTTCTACCCATTCTTCAGACTCTCCTTAGACATCCTACCTAAGGGCTGGAGCGATAGTACAGTTGCTATTGATCCTCCCTGCCCCCCCAACCCAACAAAACCCCCCAAACACCCTAAGCTTTGCTTGGTCATTGTGCCCAGGGCTTACTTCTGACTCCCGGGCTTGCTCCTGGGTCTGCATTCAGGATCTCTCCTGAAGGTTTGGAGAACCATGTAGGGTGCCAGGGATCAAATCCAGATCAGCCACGAGCAAGGCAAGTGCCTTAATCCATTGTGTTCTCTTTCTCTCTGGCCCAAATTTGCCTGTTTTTTTTTTTTTTTTTTTTTTGTAGGGCTGACTGGTTCTGAAACAACAGTCACAGAAATGACTATTTGTTGAGCCAGGCAAGCACCTGAGCTAAAGGTTCTAAAGCCACGTCCATGGGCCTTATCAACACAACACAATGGCTGCTGTGCCCCGAAATACCTTTATGTTGGTTTTAAGGCCACACCTGGCAGTGCCCAGGGCTTATTCCTGGCTCTGCACTCAGGCATCACTCCTGGCAGGGCTCGGGGGACCATGTGGGATGCTGGGGATTGAGCCCAGGCCAGCCGTGTCCAAGGCACCCGCCCTTACTCTGCTGTACTGTCGCTCCGCCTGAAAATGCTTCTACAGCACAGGCAGTCACTGGGCAGTCCCACACGGAGCTCCAGCCCTCGGCCTCTCTCAGGTGGAGACTTTGCAGTCTTCACTGGAGCTGTGGAACAAGTGGCCTGTCCAGCGGGGCGAGTGGGTTCCAGTTTCCTGCGCCCCACTCTCTTCTTCCCTCTGGTTGCTTCATCTCTGGGCAGGCTGGTTGGAATGGTGACGGGCAAACTCTTCTCTCTCCCTTGCCGGGTAAATAGAAACTGAGAGCTGAGGAGCTCAGCACACACTGGAGGCCGGAAACTACTGTGGGGGGTATGTGGGGGTGGGGGTGCCCGTCAGGCAGGGAGATGGCTTTGCTTCTTTTTCTTTTCTTTTTTGGGTCACATCTGGCGATGCACAGGGGTTACTCCTGGCTCTGCACTCAGGAATTACTCCTGGCGGTGCTCGGGGAACCATATGGCATGCTGGGAATCGAACCCGGGTCAGCAGTGTGCAAGGCAAAGGCCCTCCCCGCTGTGCTCCCGCTCCAGCCCCATGGCTTTGCTTCTTGTCCCTCTCCTCAGTCGGAGCCCTTGCAGAGCGTGGTGGATCACATGGCCGCCCGGCTCGGCGTGTCCCCAAGCAGGATCCTCTTGCTCTTCGGAGAGACAGAGCTGTCCCCTTCTGCTACCCCCAGGAGCCTGAAGCTTGGGGTGGCCGACATCCTTGGTGAGTGGAAGGCGGGGAGAAAGAGCTGGGTGGGGGGGCTCTGCTTTCAGCACCCCCACTCAAGCCTGCTTCCTGCTGCCGCCTCCCGCAGACTGTGTGGTCCTGGCAAGTCCTCCGGAGACCTCGGACTCATCCCAGCTGCTGCAGCTGCGGGTGCAGGGCAAGGAGAAGCACCAGACGCTGGAAGTCTCGCTGTCCTCCGTGAGTGCGGGAGAAGGTTCTCGGTCCGCCACCCCAGCCTTGCCCTTCTCTGTCACTGAGCAGAGGATGAGGTTCCCCTGGGGCTCCTAACTGGGCGAAGGCTGCCCTCCCAGCCGGTCCCTTGGCTTCCCTCTGTGCTTTGCCTAAGAGCCTCTGTACGTCCTTACTGTCTCCTCCCTCCTCCTGGCTCACCTGGAAGGGACTGCACGGGGGACCTGTCACCCGTCTACACGGTAGTCCCCATGCCAAGGATGATCACAGTCCAGAGAGGGTGCGTTGTTTCTGTTTTAGGGTTTCAGTCTTGGCACTAAACCCTCCTCAGAGACACTAAGCTCAGCAGGGTGTCAGCTGGGCCTGCGCCCTCGGAGACGGGATCAGACCCATTCTTGCCTTCGCTGGTTCCCTCTCCGGGGCCCTGAGTCTGAAGGTTCCCGCACAGAGCTCTGGTGGCAGCGGGAGTGCCCTGGCTGGCCGCTGCCATCACTGTGGTCTCACCTCTGGCATTAGAACGTGACCACCCTGGTGTCTGTTTCTCATGCAAATGTGAGTCCAGTGCGTGCCCCCCAGGGGGATGACCTCACCTTAACACAGTCACGTCTCCCAGGCTCTTCCCAGTCTGGGCACATGCCAGGGCTTAGGGCCACCAAGTGTCATTGAGGCAGGGACACCCAGTTCACCCCCTCGCGTCCAGTTCCATAGGAGAGCCTGGCCTTTATTTGCGTGTTGGTCCTGGCTCTCTTCATCATCGCCCTGTGCTCCGTCACTGGTAGGTGGGAGCCCTGATCCCTGGCCTTGGGCCTCACTTCCTGGAGAGCCCGGAAGCTGCTGCCTTCGCTCCCTCGCCTTCCCCTCCATGGTCTCTGCCTCATCCAACTCAGCAATGGGTCCCGCCTGTCCCAGGCTCGCTGTGTGTCCGAGTCCCTCGGCTCGGGGTCTGACATCCCTCTCTTGCTCTTCCCCCAGGACTCTCCTCTCAGGACCCTCATGTGCCGCTACGAGGAGGCCATGGGCCTCTCGGGCCACAAGCTCTCGTTCTTCTTCGACGGGACGAAGCTTTCAGGCAAGGAGCTGCCAGCTGACCTGGGCATGGAATCCGGGGACCTCATTGAGGTGTGGGGCTGAAACCCCACTCGCTGTTGGCAAGCCCGGCCGGGATCTGGGGAGAACAGCTGCCCCTCTCTCACTGCAGAAGGGCTGAGGGGAGCTTAGGGGGAGTTAACCTGAAAGCAGAAATGGACTTGAGGCATGATCTTTGACCTTGGTTTTCAGCCCAGTCACCTGGTTGGTTTGTGGCCAGTGATGTTGCCTTGTGTGAACTGTGTCCCCGTCTCCAGGGTGCTGCGCTTGTAGCGGCCCGAGCCATAGAGAACGATTCCCTTCCCTTCTCGCTCTGCTACCCTCCCCTCCACCCCCCATTGATGACTGGGACACCGTTCAGCTCTAGAGTGATTTGGACAAGGTTCCAGTCTTGGGATGGATGCCCACGTCTGGGGCTAGCAGTGGCCTTTGTGTCACTGGGGTGAGTTTGCTTAAGCTGCCTGCGTGGTGTGGTGCCCTGCTGGCGAGAGCACCGTCACCGAAGCTCAGCACTGCAGCTGGGGCCCAGGTGGGCACGGGGCATTGTTCCGCAGGACCCGCTCCTGAGGGTTCTCACTGGGTCCCAGAGCCTCTGTGCTCAGCCTGTTCAGTCTGGATCTCAAGACTGTCACCTGCAGAGGTCCTGGCTGGATATTTTTCTCTCTTTTTCACATCTTCCTTCCCCTCAGGCCGGCTCTTTGGCGTTCACACCAATGTACCCATGTGAGGTGGCGTGGGCGTGAATAGTCCTTCGGCGGCGGCTCTGTTCTGTTCATGGCACTGGGTTTTTCACTCCCCCTCCCTTTGTGTTGCTTCATCTCCGTCTCTCGTGCTGCTTGAACTGCCCTGTGGCGCTTGTTCCACTGCTCGATGGCGGGCCCCGGTGACTCCAGCGCCCCCAGCCACTGCACGAGGCCACCGAGAGCCTGCTGTCGCGTGTCCTCGCCCATGTCTGTGTGGGAAGGACCCAGGATGGGACGCCGGGCCAGCATGGTTCCTCCCAGCTGAGGCCTCCCCGCTGCTGCTTCTTGTCCACTCTGTTTTTTCCTTCTTGACCAGTGCTTGGAGGACCATGCAGTGCCCCAGGGGACCATATTTGTGCTGCTGGGGAATCAAATTTGGGCTCCCACATGCAAAGCCCGTGTTCCAGCCCTTCGGCCATCTCCCCGCTTCTTTGCCCACTGTCTGTCTGATGGGTGTAAACTGGAGCCTTGTAATGTGCATGCAGTGGGTCACCAGTAACTGGGTGAGATTTCTTCGAATCTCCATCAGCCTCCCCAATTTCCCTTTCTGCTCCTTCATATTTGTTTCCTGCTGGGGGGCTTCCGTCCTTGTATTTGTCCTCGGAGTGATCCTCTGTCCTGGGAACCTGCTGTGTGAATAGGGGTGTCTTTCACTGAACAGGAACTCTTCATATCTTTTGTGTAGATGTATGAACTATTTTGTTATTTGTTGCTTTTGGATTTCTTATTTAAAATGAGCTGCTTTACTGTTCTTCCTGTTTATATTTCCTTTCCTGCTTAGACCACGAACAGGACTCAGGCAAAACAGTGTCTGCGGGGGCGTGCTTTGCCTGGCCTCTGTTCTGTGTGGTCTAACGTTTGTTCCCTAGTTGAAGCCAGGCTTTACTGGCTGTTAAATATAGAAGTGAATAAAAATTTAAACTATTTAAATCAAAATTCACTTTTGTATCTGAAATACAGGTCTGGTCATAAACATAGATTTTACGAATAAGGAGCCAGTTCTTTTACCATTCTCTACTAATAAAGCCATTAATTTTTCACTGATAATGTGGTATCATTTTGGCAAAGATATTCTGAGGTCTCTTTTGGTTGGCATGTGGTATTCCTTTGAACTTACAATGTGGGGAAAATAGAAAACCTCTTGTAACATTTAAATATCCCACAAAATATGTAGCTCTCAGTTCTTTGCGTAGCTTTCATGTCCATGAATGTTGGAGTATTTTATAGGGTCTGTGTTCCGTCTCCACAGACTACGTGGGAGGCCAGCCAGTGCGCGTGGACATGAGGATTCTGTCTTTGACTGCGGCTCTAGGTGTGGCCTGACCTCCCTTCTTCCTCCTCCTGGGGTAAGGGAGCCCCTGAATTTTGACAAAGCCCAGAGCTGCAGAGTAAGCCTGGGTGCAGCTGAGTGCCCGCTCAGGCTCCTGAGTGGAAGGCTGTGGGGACAGCGTCCTCTCCATGGCCTCCTGCCACCGCCTGTAGGGGGACAGACCTCCTGACAAGAGGGGACGAGGGCGGAGGGAACAGGGTCCCTGTCTCCAGCCAGTGACTTTCCAGACCCTGTCAGGCTTTAGGGTTTTTTCCCAGAAAGCCAAAAAAAAAAAAAGAAAGAAAAGAAAATGTAAGGCAGATATTAAAACTGAGACTATATTGAGCTGAAGAAATAGTACAGTGGGTAGGGCGTTTGCCTTGCATGCAGCCTACTGGGGCTTGATCCCCGGCACCCCATATGGTCCCTTGAGCACCGCCAGGAGTGAATCCTGAGTGCAAAGTCAGAGCATCGCTGAGGATGGCCCCAAAAAACAAAAAACAAAACTTGATACTATGTCCAATATTTAAAACCAGTTTGTAATTGGGAGAACATCTAAATCCTTAATTAAGAAACACAAAATGAAAGAAAACATGAAGTGAAAACTGTAAACTGGCCCCATTGTTCACAGTGACATTTCAAGTCTGGAAATGCTTATTTGCAAGCATCAGTACCCAAGTTCTCATGGAGAATGCATAATCTCTGAAAAGTATGACAAGATTATATTATGACCTGCTTAGTCCCGCACAACTAAGTCAAACAGAGTCCCCGTGGCAAAGGGAGGAGGTCAACGGGATAAGGAGGGCCGGACAAGCGATGCTCATGCAGCTTCTTTATTGAACAAGCAACAGACTTTTATAGGTTTCTAGAAGGAAACATACATTGGAAAAATATATAGGAATGTTCAGGATACATACATTTAGAATGTACTTGGTCTCTAGCTGTCAATGATGTTTTTCTATAATTACATCGTTTCCATGATATTTTCCTTGGTTATATATTGAAACACCTTAGCAATATGTTCTGCCACAAGAAAGGGGAAAGAGCCCACTAGAAAAATAAGAAAGTTAGCCCTTAGAATGTGTGACTCCAAGACAGTGGTTTCTAATAAACCAGCCTTTAGACGACACGTGCCCTAGGACAAGAACTTTCTTAATATTAACTAGCACAGGCTCCCAACAGCCACCAGTACATTTCTAAATTTGAAACTACCATTCTGTGTTACTTCTGTGTATTTTTTTGAAAAGTTTATTTTCAAAACAGATTAGTCTTAGGTGTGAATAGTATAAATCATAAATCATAGTTGTTTTTTTTATTTCTTTTTTGGGGGTGTTGTTTTGGGGCCACACCCAGCAGTGCTCAGGGCTTACTCCTGGTTCTGTGCTCAGGGATCACTCCTGGAAGACTTGGAGGACCATGTGGGGTGCCACAGATTGAACCCGGGTTGACTGCGTGCAAGGCAAGCACCCTTCCCACTGTTCTCTAGCTCCGGTCCCTCACTTTATTTTGGGGGGCAGGCACACCTGTAGTGCTCAGGGCTTACTCCTGGCTCTGCACTCAGGGTCACTCCTGGTGGTGCTCACTCAGGAGACCAGTTAGGATGCAGGGATTGAACCTGGGTTGGCAGACGCCCTACCCACTGCACAATCTCTCTGGCCCCACTTATTTTTAAAATTCTTGGTTGTTTGGGATCCTTAAGAACAGGAGGGTCCACCTCCTCACAGGAGCCAAGGGTGTCCGAGGACATCCAGTAAAGCCAGAGCTGGGAAAACCTTCGGGGATGACCGCTTTCTGAGGAGTTGTGTCTGGAGTTGTGTCTTTCGGACGCAAACCCTGTCCTAGCAGCCCCAGGGCCTTGTTGTTACGGTGTCATGTGTTCCCCCACGGTCCATGAGGGCATCTCGTTTCTGCCCATGGGTGGAGCCGACACTCATCCAGTGTGTCCCAACCTAGTTTCCCATCAGTGCCACCGCCCTCTATACCTTGGGGTCCACATTTGTGGATTCAGCAGACTATCAAAAATCTATACTGGGGGGCCAAAGATGTGGCTCAGTGATGAAGCATGTACAAAGCTTAGCATGTGCAAAGCCCCGAGTAGGATTCCAGAGCCCCCGGCGCCCCCAGCACCGTAGGGCCCAAGTGCTTGCAGTGCCACGCTCATGTCGAAAGGGTTTAGCACTGCCAGGGTGCCCTTGGATCCCTTGAGCATTATGGTTGGGGCTCCTATTTAAAAATTCTGTGGTGGGGCTGGAGTGATAGTACAGTGGGTAGGGCATTTGCCTTGCATGCTGCTGACCCGGGTTCGATCACCAGCATTCCATATGGTCCCCCGAGCACCGCCAGGAATAACCCCTGAGCATCGCCATGTGTGACCCAAAAAGCAAAAAAACTGTAGCACTGCCCTCCCGTTGTTCATTGATTTGCTCGAGCAGGCACCAGTAATGTCTCCATTGTGAGACTTGTTACTGTTTTTGGCATATCGAATACACCACGGGGAGCTTGCCAGGCTCTGCCGTGCGGGTGGAATACTCTCACTAGCTTGCTGGGCTCTCTGAGAGGGACAGAGGACTCAAACCCAGGTCAGCCACGTGCAAGGCAAACGCCCTACCCACTGTGCTATTGCTCTAGCAGCACTATTCATAATAGCCAAAATCTGGAAATAACCCAAGTGCCCAAGAACAGATGACTGGGTAAAGAAACTATGATACATATACACAACAGAATACTACTAGCCATAAGAAAAGATGAAATGATGTGATTTGCTACTAAGTGTATAGATCTGGAGAAAATCATTGTGTAAAGCTAAAAAGCAAAAAAAAAAAAAAAAATTAAAAAAAAATCTGTGGCTCGGGGCTGGAGCAATAGCACAGTGGGTAGGGCGTTTGCCTTGCACGAGGCCGACTTCAGTTCAATTCCCAGCATCCCCTATGGTCCCCTGAGCACCGCCAGGAGTAATTCCTGAGTGCAGAGCCAGGAATAACCCCTGTGCATTGCCGGGTGTGACCCAAAAAGCAAAAAAAAAAAAAAAAAATCTGTGGCTCTGGACAAGAACTGTGTGATGGAAGGGGGTAAAGTGATATGCAGGAGACCCTTTCAGTAACAGCACTGCAAACCACAGTGCCTAAAAGAAGGAAAAGTGCCATAAAGGCAGGCTGGGTGTGCAGGGGGAGGGGAAAGCCTTGAACAGTGGTGGAGGGAAGTGGACACTGGTGATCATGAATGCTTTGTAACTTTGTATCACAGGGTGATTCAGTAACATTTTAAAAAAATCTATTGGGATTCAGAGGGGAGTGGGGCAACTTGGTGGCTAAAAGCTCCTGCCTTGCCGCTATGAGGCCCCAAGTTTGGGGACCTTCCCACATACGCCAAGCATGACCCCCAGCACTTCTGCTCTCTGGGACCCCCGTGCCAGTTAAGAACATGTCACCTGCACAGAGCCAGGTGTGTGTAATAGTAACTATAACAGCAGCTACAGTGTGACAGCATGCTGCCCTGACAAGCACTGCCTCTCACACATGCAGACACTGCAGCTGGGTGGACAGTGCCCAGCGGACACTGCAGCTGGGTGGACAGCCCCCCCAGTGGACATTACAGCCAGAATGATCATGAGCACTGCCCACTTAGAAATTTCACCGAGGTAGGTGTGCTGGGATTCTGTCCCTCTCTCCGTTACCGATGTCGAGGTATTGCATGTGTGTTTGGTGTGATGCTCATAGTGTTTGGGTTTGTTTTTCGCCATGCCCAGCAGGGCTTAGGGCTTATGCCTGGCTCTGCAATCAGAAATTATTCCTGTGGTGCTTAGGAGACCTTAAAAGGTGCCAAGGATCAAGTCCAGACCGGATGTGGTTAAGGCGAGGGCCCTACCCACTGTGCTACCTCTCTGGCCTCCCGTCCTCCCTGTCCCCCTTGCCTCCCCGTACATTTTTAGCTGGATTTCTGGGGGGTTGCGTATCAGGTTGCAGTGCCCACCTGCTGCCATGCTGCTCACTGACCTTTGTATTCCTGTAGTATTTGCAGAGGGTCACAGAAGGTCACATTCGTCTGAGTTGAAGCACAGAATCACTGTTGCTCTGTGCTTGGTGGGTCACAGCAATGCTCCTGCATGTTTGCTGGGGGTTGCACTTCCTGGTCATGGAGATAGCACATCCTTTGAGGTGTGATGCTTGCAGTTGCATCCCTTCGTGATACGCATTTGGCTGAGGGCAATTGGAAATCCCTGTGGCCCTGGGGATGACAGACAGCTGCCAGGATCATGCTGGTGCCTGTGAGATGCTGGGGCTTCAACTCAGGTCCATAGGTCTGCAAGACAGATGTGGTGAGTCTCTGCACTCTTCCTCTGGGCCCTGTTACAGGATAAACAAGCTTAGACATTAAAGCACCTGCCCCAGACCACAGCCACCAAATGCAGAGGTCAGCCAGGTGGGCCTGACATTCAGAATTCTTGGTTGAGGCCAGCGCTCTGCTCCTCAGGCTCTGGGTGGGGCCAGAGAAGCTGCATTCCCAACAGCTACCCAGATTATGCATGTGTGGGATTGAGCCCGGGGCCTCACACAGGCAAGGCAAGTGCTCTACTGAGCAACGCCACCCCCAGCCCCAGCGGTGAGGTGACTACTAAATGTAGCCAGTTCTGAGGAGGTTTCTTTCTTTTTTCTTTTCCCCTCTCGAGACAGGAGTATAGCCAGTGTTAATGACTTTCCTACTGATCTAGAAGGGGAAGGAACCAGAAAACTGCCCCTTGCACAAAGATCCTTGAAGTCTTTAGACTTCCAGTCCCTGCCTTGCTCCAGCCAAGTGAACCGCCAGAGGGCGCAAGAGCTTCAGTCCTGGTACCAGTCGGCAGAGAATGGGAGGTGACCACCTCCCGCCCTGGGCTGGGGTCAGGAGCACTTTCTTCCTCGTCTGCAAGTTCTAGGGTTTACGCGGGTAGCTTGTTGGGAACTCCCAAGTGGTAAGGAACGGGCAGGGCGGGGTCACTGTTTAGCATTCATTCATAACTGAGCGTGTAAGCCGTCTGCGAGGAAGAACGAAAACGGAGAGCCACAGCGTTAGTTCCCACGTCCAGTTCGGGTGGCACATATCCCGGCAGTACTCAGGGGCTAGCTCTGGGCCCCGGGTGCTTGGGGGAACGGCGGGGCCGGGTTCGAACCCGGCCCTCCAGCATGAAAAGCAAACGCTCAGGCAAACTGGCCAGCTCGGGAATCATTGAAGATCCAGGATCTCCGCGCGGGATGGCTTAGTGGCAGAGTGCCTGGAGCCCCGAGCGCGTTCCCCAGGAGGCCGCCTCTGGGGTCCCCCCGAACCAGTTAGGTGTGCGCAAGCACCGCAACTGAGCGTGGGGCGAGCCCCAAGAGGCGAGCCGGTCATCTCAAGGCAGAACAAAGAGGAAGAAGGAAAGAAAAGCAAGAACAAGGCTCGAGAAGTCAGCCGAGGAGGTCCCGCACGTCCGGAAACGCAGGTCCAGCTCCACGGGGAGTTTCGGCTTGCCTGGAGCGAGGGCCCCTAGGCTGCGGGCTCCCGCCGGCCTCCCGCGGGGCGGGCTGGGGAGCGGAAGGGGCGTGCGCGGCATCCGTAGGCGGCCGCGGACCACGTGAGGGCCGGGGTCCCGCCCGCCCGGGTCACGTGGGGCTCGGCCCCGCCCCCGCCGTCCCCTGTCACATGACCACGCTCGGGCAGCATGGCGGTGGCCGCGGAGCCGCGCTGGGGCTGAGCGACTGCGGGTGTGGTGGGCTCCCAGGCGGGGTGAGTGTGGCGGGCTCCCAGCCGGGGTGCGGACGCCAGGCTCCTGCCCGGACGTGCCCCCGGCTCGCGCGGCGGGACGCGGGCCGGGCCCGGTGGTCCCCGCCCGGCCGCGCCCCGTCCGTCCTCCTCCCTCCAGCCTCCTCCCTCGCAGGTGGGATCGTCGGTGGGACCGGAGCGCGCGGGCGGGCGCGGCCCCCGGGGACCATGGCCGGGGCCGACACCGCGCCCTTCCTCAGCCAGGCGGATGACACGGACGACGGGCCGGGGCCCGGCGCCCCCGGGGTGCCGGGGTGCCCGGGGACCCCGAAGCCCGAGGGCCCGGAGATCCCGGACCGCGAGGGGCTGCAGCGCATCACGGGCGTGTCTGCGGGCCACTCGGCTCTCATCGTGGCGGTGTTGTGCTACATCAACCTCCTCAACTACATGGACCGCTTCACCGTGGCGGGTGCGGGACCGGGGAGCGCGGCCGGGTCCCGGAGGCGGGCGGCCGGGGGGGCGCGTACCGACTCGTGTCCTCCCCAGGTGTCCTTCCCGACATCGAGCACTTCTTTAACATCGGGGACAGTAGCTCCGGCCTCATCCAGACCGGTGAGTGGGGCCGCGACGGCGCACGGCGCCCTGCTGGCCTTCGCGCTCCAGACTGGGGCTCCCGGAAGGAGGGCTGCGGGTTGGGGGGCGCAGAGGCTCGGGCTTTGCGCTGGGGCTGTTGTGCGTGGTCGGGGGCGCACGGTGAAAGAGGGGCCGCCGTAGGGTAATGGTAAGGGCAGGGCTGGGGTGAAACCTGCGTTTTCCTCCTCACTCGTGCAGGGGGCGGCCCCGCCTTCAGGCTCTCAGCCTATTTCCTTGTCAGTGAGATGGTCCCAGGGTACCTCGGGGGCTGAGGGGGGTGAAGTGAGGTGCACCTGTGACTAGGGGAGGCGGGAACCTAGTGAGGGCTTGAAGGATGTCTGGAATGGAGAAAGGGTTGTTTGTTTGTGCTTTTGTTTTTTGCCTTTTTTGGGTTACACTCCTCCTGGCTTGGCGCTCAGGAATCACTCCTGGCAGTGCTTGAGACCATATAGGATTCTGAGGATTGAACCCAGGTCGGCTGCATTCAAGGCAAATGCTCCCCTCCCTGCTGTACTATTTCTCTGGCCCTTGGAATGGGGCGAGCTGAGTGAGCTTTGTTTGTTCAGAATTTTAGAATTTGAGGGAAAGGCAAAATTAGGGCCAAATCCTTTTTTCTCTGGGTTTTTTTCTTTTCCCCCCTTTTGGGAGCCACACCTGACAGCTTACTCCTGGCTGCCTTCAGGGATCACTATTGGCTTTGCTTGGGGCATGGCACGGGATTCTGGGGATCAAACCTGGGTTTGCAAGACAAATGCCTAACTCGCTGTGCTATTGCTCCAGCTCCTTGATTTTTTTTTTTTCTTTTTGGGTCACACCCGGTGATGCTCAGGGGTTACTCCTGGCTCATGCACTCAGGAATCACTCCTGGTGGTGCTCGGGGGGACCATATGGGATGCTGGGAATCGAACCTGTGTCGGCCATGTTGGCTGCGTGCAAGGCAAACGCCCTCCCCGCTGTGCTATCGCTCCAGCCCCAGCTCCTTGATTTTTTGTTTCTGCTTTTGGGTTATACCCGGAAGTACTTGGGAGACCGTGTGGTGCTGGGGATCTAGCCTGGGGCTTCTGTGGGTTGCATGCACTCCAGCCCTTTGAGCCATCTCCCTGGCCGTAGCAGTTCTTTTTTATTTCCTGGAGAAGGAGGCAGCATTAATTATATTTTATAAAGAAGTTAAAGCTTGGGAAGAGTGAAATGTTGGCCCCTCACCCAGCAAATCAGAGGCCGAGCAGGCCTTGGATGCCAGGTCTCTCCATACACTTTGCTCCCCTCCAGGCCCAAAACCGAGCTGGAGGTGTTAGAACCAAAATCACGAGGAAAGGGAACAGAGTAGGAGACAGGCCGTGCCAGGCCCTGGGGAGTTGTTGAGTTAGGGGAGCAGCCACTCTCTCTGCAGCCCGTTGTTTCGTTTGCCGAGCACCCGTCTTGTGCTCGGAAGCTTGTTAAAGATGGACACACAGGGGCTGGAGCAATAGCACAGTGGGTAGGGTGTTTGCCTTGCATGCAGCTGACCCAGGTTCGATTCTCAGCATCCCATATGGTTCCCTGAGCACCGCCAGGGGTAATTCCTGAGCGCATGAGCCAGGAGTAACCCTGGTGCATCACCAGGTATGACCCAAAAAGAAAAAAAAAAAGATGGACACACAGACACAGCTAAACTTGGGCCATGTCTTTGGCTGCCACGCAGAAGGGAGCAGAGCCCTGAGAAGCCTATGCTAAGAATAAGACGGGTCTCCGCGGGGATGAGTGTTGTGGGAAAGAAGACAGGAAAGCAAGTGGGCTGGGGGTGTGATGTTGGGGACGGTGGCGACACTCAGGAGAGGAGATTCCCGGTGGAGGGGACAGCAGGGACAGGTCACCTCAAGAGGGTAGTGAGCTTGACACTTGGCTATTGGGAGAGTGGAAAGCTCACGGTATGTGTGTGTGTGTGTGGGGGGGGTGGTCACAGGGAAGTCAGGTGGAGTTCTTGGCTACTGGGAATGAGAAGCGTCCGCTGTCCGTCTGTCCTGGGGGAGGCTTGGGAAGGTTGGGAAGGGTGGAAGCTGGGTGGGAGGCTGGGGGTTTCCTGCAGGCTGGGCGGGGCTGTGACTTTCTGCATCCCCCCCAGTGTTCATCTCCAGTTACATGGTGTTGGCGCCCGTGTTCGGCTACCTGGGCGACAGGTACAATCGGAAGTACCTCATGTGTGGGGGCATTGCCTTCTGGTCCCTGGTGACCCTGGGGTCATCCTTCATCCCTAGAGAGGTGAGGCTCCAAGGTGACTCTTCGCACCCTGCACCCCCTTCCTGCTCTTTGCTGTCGCACCTTGGGAAGGCAAATGATCTCCTGGGCCCAGCCCCTCCCCCATCCCTCGCTTGCTTGGGATCCTCCCCCCCCTTCTCCCTTGCAGACTTCCAGACCCATCTCTCTGAGTCATGCCCTTGCCCCTGACCATGGCTCCTTCTGCTCTGCACCTGCATACGCGCGTCTTTCCCTGGTCAGGCCTCACACGGGCCCGGCCCCGGCTCTGGTCTGGGTGAAGGGGCAGCCTCACTTCCTCTCCTTCCCTCTGCCCCTTGAGTCCCGCCAGCCGACCCGCCCCCACCACTTCATTGCCAAAGTCAACAGTGACCATGTGGTTGCTAAATGCTCCCCCCCAGGGCCTGTTCTCACTCAGGGCCCACGAGCCCTGGCTCAGCTGACCCACTTCTTTCTTTTGAAAAGTCTCCTGGTTTCGGGGAACCGCTCTTAGCTTTTCCTCTAGCTTTTCCGGCTCGTGTTTGCCGGCGCCTTTGAATCTCTAGGCGCTCATTCTTGGGCCCGGAACTTTGACCTTGGTCCCAATCTCTGACCTTGGCCCCCACAGGCATCCTGTTCTTGGGGCTCACCCGCAGGTGCCCTCGGTGGGCAGGTAGCCCCCCACCTTAGCCAACATGCTGTTAGTCCCCTCTCTTGGAGTGTGGGGTGGGGTGGGCAGGAGAGAAATCGAGATCGATGATGCCCTCTCTGGGGGCACAGGAACGAGCCCTCACAGGAGCATGTGAACAAGTCGTTATTATCCCCCTTTTGCAGATGAGGAAACTGAGGCTCAGAGAGGTTAAGTTGCTTTCCCACAGTCCAGCTAGTAAGTAGTGGAGCCAGCACCCGAGCGCAGGTCTGCCTGGCTGTGGCCCAGGCTTCTCCGCCCTCGCCGTGGGAGGCGGGAGGCTGGCACAGGGAGGGTGCCACCTAGCCCCCGTCTCACTCCTCAGCGGTTCTGGCTGTTGCTCGTGACCCGGGGCCTGGTGGGGGTCGGGGAGGCCAGTTACTCCACCATCGCGCCCACCCTCATCGCCGACCTCTTCGTGGCTGACCAGCGGAGCCGGATGCTCAGCGTCTTCTACTTTGCTATCCCGGTGGGCAGGTGAGTGGTCTAGGGAGGGGGTGGGCTTGGCATCGGGGGGCACCACTGACCGCTGCCCTTCTCTCCCACCCCTTCCTTCCCCCAGTGGCCTGGGGTACATTGCTGGATCCAAAGTGAAGGATTTGGCTGGCGACTGGCACTGGGCCCTGAGGGTGAGTAGCTGTGGCCCAGGGAGGACAGTGATTCCCAATCCCCTTTCCTGTCTTTATGTGCGCGCACGCACACACACACACACGCACACACACACGCACACTTCGAAGTGCTCACCCTCCAAGCCTTCTGGAAGACGTGTGCTAGTCAGAACTCCTGGTGCAACAGAGCTCATTGTAAAACGTTAGGCCCCACATGGGACTGGGTTGACTTGTGATGACAAGTTTCGTGGGGAGTGCAGGTAAAGTTGGATCCAGAACGTCCACTGTTCCCAGGCACCGGCTCATCCTTTTCTCGGGTCTGCTTTCTTCCCCGAACTGCCTTCTCGAGCACTTGAATGCCTCAGCCGGTTTGTCTCCCTGTTTAAACTGTCTGTGCCCATGAGCCCTAGATAGGAGCTTGGCTGGTACCTGATTAGGCTGAACCAGTTCCCTCAGCTGGGGTTGGGTGGTGTCAAGGCTGGGTCAGAACCCCAGATGAGCACGGAATTGAGAGGGAAGTTGGGGAAATGGAGTTCTGAAAAGTAGGGTGCTGTGTCCCAGCTGGGCTGGAGAAGTTGGGCGGCCTCCTGCAGCCAGACTGCAGCTCCTGCGGGTGCCCCCTGCTGTGCTCCGTCCGGCTCACCCTCCCAGACTCCCTCCCCACTGGCTGTGCCCGTCCTGAAGCTGCTTTTTCCCCAGGTGACCCCAGGGCTGGGCGTGGTGGCGGTTCTGTTGCTGTTCCTGGTGGTCCGGGAGCCGCCCCGGGGGGCTGTGGAGCGTCACTCGGACTCCCCTCCCCTGACCCCCACCTCTTGGTGGGCAGATCTCAGGGCTCTGTCAAGAAAGTGAGTTTCAGCTTCTTTCCACTCTGGATAAGCACTCTCTCTCTCTCGACCTCTCTCTTCTCTCGTTCTCTTTTCTCTTTCCCTTCTTCTCTCTCCCCTCTGTCTCTCTTCTCTCTTCTCTCTCTCTCCCTCTCTTTCTCTCTCTCTCTCTTTTCTCTCTCCCTCCCTGTCTCTCCTCTCCTCTTTCTCAAGTAAACTTCTGTAAATAAAACTATTTTGTTTGTTTTTTTTTTTGAGGGGTGGGGTTGGGCCATGCTTGGCAGTGCTCAGGGCTTACTCAGGCTCTGTGCTCAGAGAGTACTTCTGGCTCTGTGCTCAGGGCTTACTCCTGGCTCTGTGCTCAGGGATCACTCCTGGCAGGCTCAGAGCATCATACGGGGTGCTGAGGATCGAACTCAGGCGGACCACACATACAAACACCCTGTCCTCTGAACTGTGTCTCTGGTCCCTCTATTTTGTTTTTTTAAAAAGTTTCATTCCATCCTGCCCCAACCCCTGAGGCGCACACAGAGAGCCTGACAGCTGGTGTGAGATTGAAGGGGCTCCTCTTTGATCCCTGCCTGCTGGGGGCCCTGCCCACCCCTCCCCCCCACCTCACCCCCTCCATCCCCTCAGCCAGCCACCACTGCCCCCCCGTGTGGCTCCTGGGTGAATTACAGGCCCAGGTGCTGAGGTTCAGGACCTGCTTCCTGCCCGGTGTGGGACCTCATTCAGCGAACATGGATGGGAGGGCCCAGCCCAGCACTCCCGGAGTCCGATTTCCTTTTCTCTGCAGCCCCAGTTTCATCCTCTCCTCCCTCGGCTTCACTGCCGTGGCCTTCGTCACAGGCTCCCTGGCCCTCTGGGCCCCTGCATTCTTGCTACGCTCCCGCGTGGTCTTGGGGGAGACGCCCCCCTGCCTTCCCGGAGACTCTTGCTCTTCCTCTGACAGGTACCTTCCTGGGGGCGGGGTAGGAATGGGTCAGGGGGAAGTGGGGATTGGCTGCACCTTCCTCTTGGAGCTTTGGGGAGCCCTGGAGTGCTGGGCCGGGAGACGGGGCGCCAGACAATGGGACTGACAGCCCCTACCTCCCCTCACCTGCCAGCCTCATCTTCGGCCTCATCACCTGCCTGACGGGGGTCCTGGGAGTGGGCCTTGGCGTGGAAGTCAGCCGCCGCCTCCGCCGCTCCAACCCCCGGGCTGACCCCCTGGTCTGTGCCACCGGCCTCCTGGGCTCAGCGCCCTTCCTCTTCCTGGCCCTCTCCTGTGCCCGCGGAAGCATTGTGGCCACCTATGTGAGTACCCAAGAGCTGGGGGGCGGGGGGGAATGTGTGCTGGGGCAGGGCCAGGTGGGAGTTGCTGATTGCAGGTCTCAGCTTGGGCCCTTCCGAGCTGGGGGACGTTGGTCAAGTGACTTGACTTCTTGGGCTCTGTCCAGCCCATAAGCTGGCTCAGGTGTGCGGGGAGGGTTCCTGTGTTTGCCTGTCCTGTGATGTGACTGACACCTGGTGTCTTCCCTCCTCCCTGACCCCCCGCCCCAGATCTTCATCTTCATCGGGGAGACGCTGCTGTCCATGAACTGGGCCATCGTGGCTGACATTCTGCTGGTGAGCGGGTGCCCCTCCAGCCCAGCCCTGCCCCCTGACGCCCCCTCGGGCTGGGGTGTTCTGACCTCCCCCCTCAATGCTGTGCTCCCCCTCCCCCAGTACGTGGTGATCCCCACGCGCCGCTCCACAGCCGAGGCTTTCCAGATCGTGCTGTCACACCTGCTGGGGGACGCTGGGAGCCCCTACCTCATCGGGCTGGTGAGCACTGGCCGGCCCTGGAGCGCCCTGTGAGCCCGTAGGCCCGTGGCTGTGCTGGGCTGCTGGTGGTGCCCGTCCGCAACGGTCCCTGCCGTGTCCTCTCGCAGATCTCCGACCGCCTGCGCCGGGGCTGGCCCCCCTCCTTCCTGTCCGAGTTCCGGGCGCTGCAGTTCTCGCTCATGCTCTGCGCCTTCGTGGGCGCACTCGGGGGCGCAGCCTTCCTGGGCACCGCCATGGTGATCGAGGCTGACCGGCGGCGTGCCCAGCTCCATGTGCAGGGTCAGTGGCGTGCCCGCTGCCCACTGTCGCCCCCTTGCCTCCGCCGACCTGGCCCTGATGCTGACTGACCCTCTCCCGGCAGGTCTGTGGCGGGAGGCGGCGCCTGCTGATGACCGGATCGTGGTGCCCCAGCGCGGCCGCTCCACGCGGGTGCCCGTGTCCAGTGTGCTCATCTGAGGCCACTGCCCCGCTCACTCACCCAGTGCGGGCACTCCCGCGGGCACGGGGGACAGGCGCCGGCCTCGGCCCAGCTCTGAGGACGCCGCGGCCACAGTTGGGCCCCAGACACTACATGGACGGTTCAGGGGGCTGCCGTGGGGGCGCTGGGAGAGGTGCCTCCTCCAGGGAGCCTGGGGCTCGGTGCTATTCGTAAGGGAATAAATTTGTAGTCGGACCCTCGGTGCCTGTGTGAGTCTCTTTGGGCTTGTGGAATCTGTCATCTGTGCACTCGGGTCTCATCCAGCTCCAGACTCACGGGCACATCCCTCCCTCAGTGGCGGGCGGCAGTGGGGGCTGACCCAGAGCGGTGAGCTGGCTGGTGTGACGGTGACTCACCCCCATTCGCCGTGGAGCCGGCCCCTCAGGCGGGGCTGCCGCCTCGACCTACAGAGCCCCCTGACTCCACCGCTCTCCTTGCTGTGCCTTCTTGCTGCGCCTCGAGGCCCCCGGGTGGCAGCTGGTGGCCCTGGGGTCTCAGCTTCTCCCTCTGGCTGGGTCCCTTAGGCCCCGGGCTGGGGGCAGAGGGGCTGGGTGCTGCCCGCCTGGCTGTCATCTCCCGGCTGGGTGGGGGTGTGAAGGGGCGGGTGCAGCGCCCGCCCGAGGAGCCCGATGATTTCCTGCCCTCACCGGCCGAACCACAGCTTCCTGCCACAGGCCGACAGCACCGAGACGCAGCAGGGCTGGGGCGCAGGAGCGCTGAGGGGAGCCGGAGCCCTGGGTTCCAGCCCAGGTCCTGCCCCGAGCACCCTGCGAGCCGGCACAGACTCCACGGCCCGGCCAGGAGAGGGGAGCCCCTAGGGAGGGCTCCCCCACCCCCAGACCCCAGCACCCCGGCAGCAGCTCCACGCCCGAGGGGTGCAGCGGGCAGCCGGCCTGGGCCAGGACCCCACAGATGGACCCGGTCGTGTCAGGGCCCTTCGTGCTGGGCCTCGCGCTGCTGCCGCCGCTGCTGCTGCTGCTGGCTCTGTGTCTGCGCTGCCGCGACCTGAGTGAGCTGGGGGGCCCCGGGGGTAGGGGTGGGGGTGCTTTGCCTGCCTGCCTGCCTCACCGGCCCTGTCTTCCCCAGGCTCCCAGGATGGCGGCGATGCTTCCACCAACAGGTGAGTGCCCCCGGGGCCCCGCGTCGCCCCAGCCCTGCGGGGGTCCTGTGGGCCTCTCCCGGCCCATGACCCCCAACTTTTGTCTCCGGCAGCCTGAACCACAGCAGCCTGGTGCTAAAGCCGCCTCGTGAGTGCCCGGGGCCCCGGCCTTGGCCTGAGTGGGGTGGGGGCGAGGTGGGTGCCTGCAGTCTGGGGCCCAGGCATGCCCCCGAGGTTCCTGGAGAGGGTGGGGCACGGCCAGAGTCTGCTCTGCATCGGGGTCCTGTGTCCACAGCCACCTTCATCACCTGCCCGCCGGCCGCTCCCCACCCACCTGTGACCGTCCTGAGCCATATGGACCTGTGAGTAGCCCCAGGTTTCTGTGCGCCCAGTTCCTACTCTCCCTTGCTCCCCTTCTTGCCTCCCGTCTTGCCCCAGAGACCCCGGCCTGGGTCTGACCTCCCGCTTTTGACCCCCAGGAGATCCCCTCAGCTCCTTGGGGGCTCCCACTATGCACCATCTTCCCGGCAGGACTCCGATGGGGGTAAGCATGGCGCAGGCGGGGGTGCGGCTGGGCCCACCTGAGCTGACTCAGTTTCCCTCTTGCTCTCTTGCGTAGCTGACAGTGTGGCTAGCTATGAGAACCAGGGTGAGTGGGGGCCGCAGTACCAGGCTGCGGGGGGTGGTGGCGGGGCCCCACCACCCCGGGCTGATTCCCACGTCATGACCCCAGGACCCCACTTTGTGACCAAGGATGACGATGAGGAGGACCACAATGGGGGCTACTTGTGAGTGTACAGGCGGGTGGGGGGCAGAGGTATGTCGGGGGGGACCTTGCTCACCCCTCGACCCCCTCAGAGTGGTGCTTCCTGACGATGTTCCTGCCTCGGGCACTGCCGTCCAGCCTGCGCTCAGCAAGGCCAGCAAGCCCGGCTTCCGCGACAGCGCCGTTTCGGGTCAGTGCCACGCTCCCCTGCCCCTCATGCCCAGCCCCGGCTGCGACCTTCATTCCGTCCCCCGGCCCCGCCTTTCTCCTTCCCTCTCTCTGGCTCCCCCCATCTTTGGGTTTCCTGGCTGCGCCTCCATCCCGCCTGCCGCCCAGACCCCCTCCTGCCTCTGGCCTCTTCCTCTCCTCTTTCCGCCCGCGGCACCCCAGGTCCATCTCTGGGCTGTCCATTACAGTCCTTTGTGAAGGCTGGGGGGCTCTTCCGGCTTCACCCTGCTTCCTGCGAGCAGCTTCTCTCCCTGTCTGGGCCCCTTCCTCAGCCACACCTCCACGCGGCGCCCTCCCTCTCCCCCCTCCCCTGCTCTTGCCCCAGGTTCCATCCGGGTTCTGATCTGGCTGCTTCTCTGCTTCAGGCCTGAGCTCAGCCACGTGTGGGGCCCATGGCATCCACTGCCAGGCCTGGGGTGTCCTGAGCAAAGGACGCTGGGGGCTGGCCTTCTGGCATTGCCCAGACCAGACTCTGTCCCACCCGAGCCTCGGTTGTCCTGTCTGTAGGGTGGTGGGGTTAGCATGTACCCCACTGCGGGCCCCGTTCTACACCTTAGCTCACAGATGAGGAAACTGAGGCTCCGATCTTGCCTTTCCACGTCTCTGTGGAGAAGCCAGAAGGAGCGAGGGGCTGGGGTGAGAGGGATATAGAGCATGGGGGGCCCTGCAGTCTGTGGGTGCCCACTGCCTTGCCTCGAGTCAGTTCAGGCCCCGCCACCCCCTTCTCCCCATCACCTCCCATAAGGCTGACTCTGGGGCCTTTGGGGGAGCAGTGGGCAGGTGTCGGGCTGATGATGGGGTGACTGCTGGATGCCTGTGTCCTCCCTGCAGTGGAGTCTGGGGAGGATTACGTGAACATCCAGGAGAGTGAGGAGAGCGCGGATGCATCCCTGGGTGAGCACCGTCACCCCTGCCCTGGGCCCAGGGTCCTCCTCTCTGTCTTCTTTGGGTCTGGGCCTGTCCTCCTGGACATGTGGCCATCTCCCCCAACATGTCGCCACAGACGGGAGCCGGGAGTACGTGAACGTCTCACAGGAGCTGCCGATAGCCGTGAGCACTGAGCCAGGTGCGTGGGGGCGGCTGGGGGTGGCACGTGCAGGAGGGGCACGGGCTGCAGGCAGACCCCGTCTCCTCTCAGCCGCCTCCAGTTCCTATGAGGCAGAGGAAATGGAGAAGGATGAGGAGGAGGAGGAGGAGGAAGAGGAAGAGGAGGAGGAGGAGCAGCAGAAGCAGGAGGATGGCCCTGCGGACGATGACTATGAGAATCTGTAGGAGCTCAGCTGACGGCTGGGGAGAGGCCGGACCCCCCTGCTGCCCCCAGCTCTGCCTCTGGTGACTCTGAAGTCTCCCTCAGGACCCTTCCCCATCACCCTGGCCCTCTGATTGAGGGCATCCCGTCTCCTCCAACTCTGGGGACCCCTGGCCTCCCTGCCTGCTGTGTCAATTGGGGCTGTGCCAGGTGGTCGTTGCAGCCTGAGAATTTCCCCCTAACTTATTGCCACTTTGGGGGTTCCCCCTGTGTGCCCTCAACACTGCACCTTCTGACACAGCCTGAGAATGAACAGCCCAGGTCCAGTCCCCCTCTGGGGCACAATAAAGACTGGTGTGGACTGTATGTGTGCTGGCTTGGGGACCCAGGAATGGTGTTAGGGTGAGAGTGAGCTGTGCTAGAGGGTGCGCGCGCGTGCGTGTGTGTATGAGTGTGTTCGTATATGTCTGTGTGTATATGATTGAATCTGTGTATGTGCATGACTGTGTGTGTGTGAGTGTATGTGCATAAGAGTGTGTCTCTGTGTCTGTGTGTGCTTGTGTATATGTGTGTATGTGTCTGTGTCTTTGCATCTCTGTCCCCTTCAGGGACCTGGTGTTCCTGAGGGACTGTGTGTGTGTGTGTGTGTGTGTGTGTGTGTGTGTGTGTGGTGTCCTTCCAGGAGGGCGCCCAGGCTAGCCCTTCTGAGGACTCCGTCCCTCTCACTGGGAAGAAGGGACAGTGGGAGTTGTTGGTCCTGTTTCTTCATCTTTGTTTTTTGTTTCCTGGGTTTGGGCCACACCTGCCCTGTGCTCGGGGACCATTTGCGCCCAGCTATGAAGCCTGTGCCCTGCACCGAGCCACCTTCTCCTGGACTCTGAAGCAAAGGGTTGAGCCAAGGGCCTCCCTGAAGGCATCTCAGTGAATCCTCTAACAGCTGTCTAAGTACTGAGCAGCCTGGATGACCTCCTGGGCTCTGAACACTGCCTAGAAACCCTTTTGCATATGGGGTTCGGGTGGTATCTTGCTCCTTGTGGCCAGTGACACTGGGCTGGGCCTGGACAGCAAATGTCAGGAATGGGAAGCTCTTTCCGTTCCGTCGGGGGCCCCTTGTCCTCCATATGGGGGCCATCAGCTATCTTGTAGCCCCAGAGCCCCACTTGACGAGCCTGCCCCAGAACAGCCACCCCGCCGAGGACAGTTGCCCAGAGATAGACAGGACCAGTCCCTCCCATGTCAGCATCCCGGAGTCCCCTGACACAAGGCCCCCTCGGGCATCCCAGAGATGTGGGTCAATAAATTCCTGTTGTCCTTCACCTGGTGCGACTGGGGGTTTGTGTCACATATACCCACATAGCCCTAACTGCCCAGTGGCAGCCTGCAGGCACCCAGGCAACGGGCCCAGCTTTGACCCTGTGTCTGTATGTGTACTTTGTCGATATCTTGATTTCATAGGTGAGGTGACGCAGCTCACAGAGAAGGAATTTTCCCAAAGGCATCTTGCTGCTGGTGGTGGGGCTTGAGGAGCACATCTGGGACTGACTCTGTGACCCACCCTTCGGTCACCATCCCAGTCACCATCCCCCATTCTGAGTCCAATTGCCTCAGATGAGAGAGCAGAGGAAGGAGACCCAGGGTAGGGGTGTGGGGGAGCCCAACAGGCCATAGATGCAGGGGCCATAGATGATTTTAGAATTGGGTAGCGGCCCCTCTGTCTCTGCTGGGACAGACAGCAGTTCTAGAACCAGGACTGAAGCTGTGAACACCTTTGGAGAACAATCTAGCAGCTGCAGGAAAGCAGAAGAGGATGTGTGAGGTGGGCCCTGGGAGGTGCTAACACAGCCGAGGAGTGTGATGTGAGAGGAGAGGGAGCTGTTTTATTTCCACAAAGCCTCTGAAGTGAAGAATACAAAAAAGAGCCATGTGACCCCTGGGAAGGCGCGCACCTGAGGCATTAGGACTGAGGCAGGACTCTGAGGAAGGAGAACAGCCCAGGCTGCAGAGGAAGGGTCTGGGTTCCTGAGAATGTCTCTCTGGCACGGGCCAGGCATGCTCTTCAACATAGACACAAGTGTCTTATAGTTGATTCCTTTTCATGGAGTGGGGGCTCCCTGCAGTGCTGCTGACCACCAGGATGCATCCAGGGATGCTTGGGAGGCCCTGCACTACCGGTGGTTGAACTGGGCCTTATCCATATCTGGCATTTGCTCCAGCCCTCTGTACCACCTCCCGGATCCCACTGTGTAAGTTTTGTATTTTTCTGCCACACTGCTGGTGCTCAGGGCTCAGGGTTCACTCCTAGAGGAGCTCAGGGCATCATGTATGGTACTAGGGATCGCATCAAGGTTGGCTGCATGCAAGGCAAGAGCCCTGCCCACTGTATTATGTCTCTTGCCCTCGTTTATCATTCCTTGGGGTATGTACATGATTTCATAATCAGAGGTGGCCAGGGCAGGGTGGAAGGGGCGGGAGAGCCAGGGTAGCAGATGGTGAACAGGAGGCTGAGACCTGCCTGGCTTTCATCAGCAGGACGGTTAAGCAGGGAGGGTGGCATGCTAGTGTAAGGGAGGGTGCTCAAAAGGGAGTTATGGAAGGCAGATCTCAGGGATGCAGTGGCAGGCTGGCCATGGCTTGATTGGCAGGAGGGCCCTGTCTTGGGGAGGGGTGGTATTCCTGAGCCACTGAGAAGATTTTGTTGATGCTTCTTGGACCTATATGTAAGACTCAGGGCATTGCTGGCTCAGTCTCTGTCAGGGGGTCTCCCCTGAGGCAGGGGTTCCTGAACGGGGTGGGGGATCCCTGCCCAGAGAAGGTGGTGCCAGAAAGTCATCTGTCCTTTAGTCTATGGAAAAAGAGAAGTCTGTGATGCACCAAGTCTTTGCAGGATTTTCTGGGTACGCTCAGAAACATCCAGAAGTAGCAGGTCGGGAGCTGGAGCAATAGTACAGTAGGAAGGACATTTGCCTTGCACATGACCGACCCAGGTTCAATCCCCCGCATCCCATTTGGTCCCCTGAGCCCCACCAAGGGTGATCCCTGAGCACAGAGCTAGGAGTAACACCTGAGCACTCCCAGGTGTGCCCCCCCAAAAAAATTTTTTTAAGTACCAGCTCTCTTTGGAAACTTGCAGGGGCAGTCTTTGAAATGAGGGTCTCAGATAAGTAGTTTCTCTGGGAGCTGGTCTCAGAAAGCATGGCAGGGGGATGGGCAAGTGAGTCATAACTAGTGAACTGGAGAAGCAGGGACCACTCCAGGTCTCAGGGGCATCCAGGAAGGGCAGGCGGGGAACTTCCCAGAGCCTGAGACAAAACTCCCAGAGAAGGAGGTGGGGATCTGTACCCCAGCAAAGATCTTTGAATTCTCCACAACTTCTGGCTTTCCCTGCTTCTGGCGAGCAAACCCTGCACAGAGACAAGTGAGGATGGTGTTTTGCAGCTGGGACCAGCCAAAGACCCTGGTCAGGAGAGGGTTTTATGTGGCCTTGAGTGCGGTTTTTCTCATGATGAGAGTCCTGGAAGAAGCTTCCAGAGCCGGACTTCTTCAACTTTTTCCAGTCATGACCTCTTTTCACCTGAGAAAGGCAAACTAGGTGAGTGCTGGTGGAAGCACCTCGAATCCACGACACATGAACTTTTGACATATTTTTGGTCCTCGTGCCTTCAGAAACCTGCTTTGGTCCTCAAAACCTTTTGTGACTAGCTTGGAGTGCAGATGCTGCTTGAGCCCATGTGCTGCTTGTGCCCATGTGGCCGAACACATGTGGTGCCTGAGCACACGTGTCACCTGCATCTCCCCTCTTGAGATGTGGACTTTCATGCTTTCATGTCTAATGCTGGTATGTGTGCAGGGGCTGTCTCTGCCATTGGAGAAACCCGGGTTCTCTCTTGAGCACGTTACTCTCCACTCTCTCCCACTTTTTCTTCCTCCACCCCTTCAAAACCTTCAAATAAAATCTGTTTTACTTCACACACACGAAACTGCTCTCATGCTTCCATTTCTACGATGTCAGACGGTTTGAAACGGCTTTTCGCGGATCTCTTTTGCGAGGACGTTTTGAGTTTTCTGCCTGGTCAGCATCCTTCTTCCTGCCACAGCTTCCCCAACCTCCCGGTCATTTTCCTCTGGGAAAAGTTTTCGATTCTGGCCCAAAGACACTGAGGTTGTGGGAATCACCCACGCTGGCCTTGGGCGACCCGCACCTGATTGGTCGATCGAAGGCACGTGATCCGAACCCAGCCAATGAAATCAAGACTTGGCGCGAAAGGCGGGAGGGCGGGGCGGGGGGGGGGGCGGCGGCCGGCCAGGGACGCCTGATCCTCAGCCGGAGCCTGAGGGAGCCTGAGGGAGCCTGAGGGAGCCTGAGGGAGCCTGAGGGAGCCTGAGGGAGGCGGCAGGGGTGCGGGGCCCGCTGACTGGCTGTTGGGCTCCTCGGTGATCTCCGCCCTCAGGTGAGCTGTGGTAAAAGGATGCCTGACGGTGATCACAGTCACACTCATTTTAGCCAAAGTCCCAAAGTCTCTGGCCTGGAGATGACACAAAGGTGAGAAACTTCCAGACTTTTCTTCATCCTCCGTCCTCACTGCCCCCGCAGAGAGGCTGATCCGCACGCACCTCGCCGATGCCCTCCCCATTTCCGGGGAGCCCTCCTGGGCTTCCGGGGCTCTGCTTTAGGACTTGGAGTCGGGACTTGGACACCATTGCCCAGAGACGGCCGTGTCCTTCCTGACTGGGACACTGGACACTGGACTTCGGGGTTGAAGGGTATAGGACTTCAAACCTCACTGGGAGGACGATGACCAGATAGAATAAAGGCGGAGGCTTCCTGGTGATGGAACAGTGGGGGGCTTTGTGGAGTCTCCACTGGACCCCCGACTCCCACTTTCTCTCCATGCCCATTCCCTCAGCACCTCGTCTGTGGGCAGCAGCTGGCAGTGCCCGTTCCCTCCTGGGGAACAGGGTTCCAACTTCTGTCTCAAAGGCCTGCAACATTCTGACTGCTCTTGCTGGGTTTCCCTGACTGCCC